GTTAGGAGGGTCTTTCCTTCATCAAACAATACTTAGACCAGTCTGACCTGTATCTTATTCTCCTGACTAAGTTCTAGTAGGTGGTTTGTTTTATAGCATGGTTTTCAGCAGCCCTCAGGGCAGGGAACAGATCTGAACTGGTAGTGCACATAATAAGGAGCCAGTGGTTATTTTATGGCTTGAGCCAGCATGTTCTTACATGATCATAATGCAGTGATAGCGAAATTTCTACCATTCTTTAATACTTCAAAGCAATTTGCATTGGAAGAAAGATTTGCTGGTTTACATCCTTTATAAGTTGAAATTATTGTGCAGTAAAACATTATGTATTTATTTGTTATTGGTTATCTGTTTTCCGTTGTTGGAATTGGTTGTGCCTTTCCTTTAAGGATTTAATCTCCCTTGGTTTGAAAAAAAAGCCTGTAATAAACTTGGGACAGGTTTCCTTCTTCAAAGAATTTGGGGGGAAGAAATGTAGAAATAAGCTGGAAATCTCATAGTACTGCTTTGGAGTCAGAATTCAGGTCAAGAGCCTCCTGATTTGCTTGTGTTTGTCACTGGTGTATCTGCTTCTACTGGGCTGCAGTTCTCTGTCCTCATCAGTCTCCTCTATAGAATGTGTTGCCCCCTATTCTTTCTCTTGCAGTGATGAACAAAAATGAGCCAAAACCACTGAGTGCTGTGGCAAGCTTGTGTCAGAGTTCCTTGGGGTTAAAAACTCTGTGACCTGACACAGAGGTCTCTTCTCAGGATTCGAGGGTACAGAAGTTTGAACTCTCATCTCTGCTGAGCATAGCTCAGGTTCATGCACTTTGCCATTGTTTCCAGTAGCTATTGTGTTCTATTAGAAAATGCATGATCATGATGCCTTATATTCATGCCTGTAATTCTAGGGGGGGGGGGGGGGAGGGAATCCCAGAAAAATGCTTTTTGGTCTGTAGCTCTGTTGTATTGACCATCCTACCCTAGGGCTGGCACTGTCTGCAGTCATTGACTGCTCCGGGGCACTCTGACCATTTCTGTGAGGGAAAATGTGTCATTAGAATGTGTTTTGATTCATTATAGTGACATTATGTCTGTGTGGAGTGTAAAGCATGTACTCTCAGGGCTTTTGTGTGTTTCTGCTGTACAAAACTAAGCTTTGATCATGTTCTGAGGCAAAAGCAGTGGCATGGATTGGGGGCGTATAAGAGTTCAGATTGTCTATAGATTCAAATTCACATTCAGAAGACCCAAGGACATGGGTTTGAAATGGTTGGACTCTCAATATGGTGTCAGAAAAGGGTCTTCTGAGAGATAATTATATTTTTGAAGTAGCTAATGCTTAGTTTTGTATACTAGGGAATGAAAATACCTTCTGGTTAAAAACTTCCAAGCTGACACATGGGATGAGGAAGCTTTTAGAAGATGGTTTCTTTAGGGGGAAGGGTGGGTGTGCCACGTTAGTATCAACCTACAGTTTGCCTTCCTAACAATGATGAATGACAGAGATGCAGGTTTGAAAACAATGAGTGAAGCAAAACAGGCTTGGAGGCCAGTTATGATGAATTGCTGGGTCTGTCTCAAAAAGATACAACAAGTACTCTGAAGGAGAGCGTGGAAAAATGTGCTGAAGAACAAGCTCCAGTCACACTGCTCCACAATTTTGTGTTGTCAGCACACAAACTTACCCAGGACAGGAGCTACTTACCCAACTGTTGGCATTTGTTCTTCATTCGATTTGGGATTTTTTATTACATCAGTGGGTCTGCCTGCATGTGCTGTAGTTAAATACTGGACATCCCTGGACTTCTGTTAAAACTGGAAATGCCAAAATGCACCTCTAGGAAGGAGGGGGTGGGGGAGAGGGGGGAAAAGCAGATGTTGAAAAGTGCCTCTCATGCTATACCCCTTAATAAAATTAAAATACAGTAATGTTATGAGAAGGTGCCATTGTGCAACTGTATTGCCACACTGTAATGGTAGTTAAATGGAGAATCCCAAACTCAGCAGTCTTTTGTCTCCATAGTTAATATTCCCTGTCTCCTGTTATTCACACCTTAACATCCTGCTCTGAAAGCACGTGCCAGGTCTTACCCAGGTGAAAGGCTATATATGTAATATGAGCACCATCACATATATTGAATAAGCACACCGTCTCCACAAATTCTGTGATTTAAAAATTCTTTTAAAAAAGGAATAAAGCACTAATAGATTTGGGTAAAAGAAACTACTGTAAAATTTCACTATAAGCTGTAAGCTCGTGGCACCCAACTGCTATTATTGTTAGTGAAGATACTTAGATCCATTGTTTTCTTACTTTATTTGGAAATTGAGTCCATAAACTTTTATGAGCTATAGTTTAGATAATGTTAGGAAATGGCTCGTCTGGAGCTAAAATTATCTCATTGTTTGAAACAGGCAGGGACAGGTTTTGGTCTTCTCTACATTAGTCTATTTGCTACAAAACAGATCTTATCTTTTAAGTGTTATGGAACTGCACATTAAATTTCTGGTTTTATACATGGAAATAGAGCAGATGTGGCTTCTTGATGTCTGTGGCTGCATGTGAGTAAAATAATTAATGATCCAGTTCACAGGAAGAGAAATCTATGGAAAAATAACCTGAAAGAATGTTACATTCTCTTGAGGGCTTTTGTAAGAGATGCTCAGGTTTATCTGTGTGAGTATCTTTATGATTGTTAGAAATGTGTTTCCTCTGACATATTCCCATCACAACTGGGGTTAAATGCGTTCTAGAGGCTGTGAATTTGTTTGCACCACATATCAATGGCAGAACAAGACTTCTCTGCATTATCCATCCCCCTTGGCTTCTAAGGAGCAAAGAGTGAATCATTTCTAGCCTTTTTGGATTTATATAGGCTTTTAGAATGTCATGGGTTCATGGGGCTGAATTTTTGGTAATAGGGAACCAGAGTCCACGGAAGTCTCCTCCCTTTTGACAGGCTAAAGAAAACCATTTACTTTTTAAGAGAGGATATTTGCTATCAACAGACTGAAATGTGCTGCATGTGTGGATACCACTAATAAAAGACAAGAGCACTTTTATCACTGAGAGGTTTTTTTTCCACAAGGACAAATACACTTAATATCTTCTGGTCAGTTATATTTAGAGAAGAATATAAGTCACTCCTAGATGGAGCTCACATTGTGCAGACAAGCTCAGTGTTGTTTGCACTGACAATGTACCAAGTGAGTGCTCCACCCAAAAGCAGAGTCGAGGTCTTGGAGAGAAAGTCTCTGAACAAAGACATCACCAGGAAGGAGCTGGAATTTGTAATGTTCAGAACTATTGTTCAGCCCTACCATCTCCATCCTGAAGCCCCCAAATTTTCAGATTCAGGACTTTGATTCAGGCTGGCTTTTCACTTATGTTAATTGTTTTCAGACAAAGAGGTTTGTTTGTTTGTTTGTTTTTTCTTCTGTTAAGGACCACTAAAAAAAATGAGTTCCCTTAGAAGTGCCTCCCTTCTGCTATATATTTCTTAATTGAGTTCTTGGCATAAGGAAGGGAGCAAGTATGTCTAGCTATTAGAGTAGCTGTGTGAACTGGGACAGCCTCCAGCTTCTAGAAATATATTTAAAGGCTTCAAGAAGATCCAAATTTCCAAATAACTTTTACTCCTTTGCTTGGTCAGCTGTCAGTATTTGATAAATAGGGTGGGACTATTGTCAATATTTAACAACTCAACACAAATATTATTCTTCATACACTGTAAAAATAGTATATGAAATGCAAATAAAGTGCTTTATTCCAGGGCTTGTTAGTAACAGAAGCAAGTGATAAAATCTCCCTTGTCTCCATACAAAGGCATAGAGAGGGAGAAAAATGTTACCAGTGGTAACAGTCTTCCCTGCTGGGAAACAAAACAGTGAGATACCTCACTCCTCCCACCTAAAGTCATGTCCCAGGGGGGGTTCTGTGATAGAAGTTTGTTGTGATGTGTTTCTGAGTAAGAAACAGCAAGGTATGATATTAATTCAAACCAGATTACTGTGAAGTTTGCAGGAACAGAGCTCCTCCTGTCTCCAGCAACACCACCAGGACCCCTTGAGCTGCTCTGCAGTCATATAGTGCATACAAAACTCAGATATTTCTGGGACTTTCCCTATGTTCAGATAAATTCATGCCAGAAAGCCACCATTTGGCATTATCTTGCTGGATGGAGCAGCCTGCCCTCTCCATAGGCATGTGCCACATGACTGTGGCATCACCCTGAGAAAAATCTGGGTGCAGCGTAGTCAGTGTGACGTGGCTTTAACGGGGATCAGCAGCAGCCCTGGATGTCACTTCCCAGTCTTGTGTTCCAGATTGGTTTCCCATTACTTAAAATCTTTAGAGACGTTATCTCTGTGTGAATGGTTTGACACAAGAGCCAGGAGATATTACTTTTTTTTACCTGAAGGAGAGAACCTGTGGGTGAGATGGCTCGGCCACAACCCGCAGTGACAGCCCCGGCTGACTGGGGGAGGTGTCCACCCCACACAGCCCGGTGTACTCTGCAAGGGTACTTGTGCTGGTAGCTACATGAGGCCACCACCCACACAAAACAAAGGGGAAGGAACACAGCCAGTTTATTCAGGAGACTTTCAGAACTAGCATTGTTTCGGATTTGGCTTCTGTTCAGTGTAAAATGCGCTCTGTGTGTTCCTACAGCTGCCCTGCGGAGAGGACCCTGAGGTGGCAGGGAACAGCTCAGTTACTGGAGCTGTAGTTTGCTGCTTACTCTGTAAGTTAGTGTGAGTAAATCCAGGAAGAAACACAAACGACAGTAGAACTTTATTATTCCATTTTGTCCAAAACAGCCACGCTGCTTTACCATTAGTTCTTCTTCTAATCCTTTACCATGATTACTGCACTGTTAATATGGTTCAACTGTCATCCAGAAATGTCAGATCTCAAAGCCCATTCCATCCTCCCCCTGTCCATCCCACAGGGTAGTGCTCCACTGAGAATTAGAAAGCTGAGCAGTCCAGATTACAGACAATTTCAGAGCACTTTAAGAACAACGTGTTCCTGCACACTTCTTGTCAATGAAGAGGGAGTTTGCCTTCACAGAAATGTTGCCTTCTGGCACTGATATTTGGAGGATCAGTATCTGCAGAGTGTCATGTGCTTCTTGCTGACATCACTGGAAGACCTGTATGATGTCATCTATAGTGTAAACTTCAGTGCCTTGAAAAAGAGAAGTGGACAGGTTGCCCACATAACTTCAACTGTCCCTCATCCCATTCCTGTTTTTTAAGTGGATAGGCAGGAATTGTGCAGCTGTCTTGGACTGAATCAATATGAACCCTATTTGCCAAACTAGCTTGCATAGCAACTGTAAGAACTGATGCTTTCTTGTTTGTGTTGACCTTCAGCAGTGGATTAAGCCCCTCTGATATATTCACTTGCAGGCTCTCATTTGTGCAGCCTGTCTAGGAGCATCATGGCTGTGTTGAACACTTGAATATGGTCCTGTAGAATCCCTTTGGGATGGATGTTACTAGAGAGTGTTGGAGCAGTTCATAATAGCTTAGACTTGTGAGGCAGGGCGTGCTAATTGGGCCAGATTTGGCACAGAGGCTCATTAATCAGAATCACTTTGCCAGAACAACCATTGAATGTGGGGCTCTGAAATCAAGATGTTCTGTGAGCTGACATTGGCCACGCTGCTTCCCGTGGCTTATCAATGGACACAAAGCAAATCTTCTTGTGTAGTCACTGAGCTGGTAAATTCTTTCATACTGCCAAAACTCCGTGTTTTGTCTAATGTTCTATTAAATGCTCCATGCACTATGGGCTGTAAGAAAGATTGATTTTTCCAGAAACCACTTTAACTCATCCTAGGATAGTCCCAATTTTTTAAGCACAGAAAAACTAGACTTTATTAATTTGTTTTCTGTCTAATCCCTCCGACTACAAATTTGGCAGCACACACAGGGAACAAATGCCAGCATCAGCACTTCCCTTTAAATAAACAGTAACTCAGATAACATTTACATGTTACAAAGAAGTAGTTCATTTGATGTTTTCGTTCTCTATTGCAGCTGAGCTATTGGGCTGAATTCTTCTTCCTTTAAACCACATGAGAGAAATACACTTAAATTATTTAAAAGCAAAAAAATCTTTTAAAAGTGAATTAGCAAATGGTTTTACTTTCTCAGATAGGATTTTTTTCTCTAAGAAAATACATTTTATTTGAGATGTTATCTCAAGCAAAACTGGTGGGAAAAAAAATGTCCAAATTTCAAAAGCCCTGTCAGAATTTCTATTTCTAATTGCAGTTCTGATGAACAAACCATTCAATAATTAATCATCTACAGCATCCAACATAACTTGGTCTGGACTAGGGAGCTGTGGTAGAGTAAAATTTATATGCATTGGTAGGAAGGAGAACAGGATATGTTAATTATCTGTCAAGATAACTACATCTAGTAAACACTGTACTTGTATAAACATTTGGGTTGAAATAGTGGAAATCATATTAGACTGACAGAAAACTTGCATGTATGTTAAGCCTAAAGTACTTGTGAATATCTGTGTGACAGTCTGTGATGCTCTCACTTCACTTTGGAGCTGCCAGGAGTTAGTTTGATTCAGAACCCCTGTGTACATCTGGTCTTTAAGTATGTCATGTGAATGTCCTTTCACTCCACTTGAAGAAAAATTCAAAGACATTCTGTTGTTCCACAGACTTCAAATGAAGCTTCCAAATTGTTTTTAGACAGGATCCTTTGGACCATCAACGGCATCACTGGCAATTGTGGGAAGAAGAAAGGATAATGTGACACTGAGTTTTTGTTGCTAAATCAAACATGTTTTGTGCCTTGGATGCCTGCAATCCTGCTGACTGGACTGATATCAATCCTAATGCTGCAGTTTTATGGAAGAGGTCGTTGGGGAGGATGTAGAGCACAAAACTCAGAGTGAGTCTGAAACTGGGGTTGTGCATTAATATTTGAGCCCATCTTGCTTTGTTCCATTTGTTGGGGTGTTTTAATAAACTTATTATACTGTCTTATACGCCTGCCTAATTGATGGTATGGTGGTAACAGGAGTGATAAATTATCTGCTCCCATGATAAATGTAGCTACTAAGTGAATGCTGCAGTGTAATCAGAAGCTTTTTCTGGTTTCTTGCAGCTGAACTCCTGCATCTGGAACAGGCCTGATTTATGTGATACGAAAAGCCACATGAATAAAACTATCCAAATGGGCATAAAAGAATTTGGATCCAAACCAATATTTTGTGACAGAATGGATGTGGAGAGCAGAGCATGAAACTGAGGAAATCTAATATATGGATGCACCAAAGGAAATGTCAGGATCCTATTAAGGAGGTATGAGGCTAAAAAAAAGAGATACATTACATTGTACATTTATGGCTTAAGGAGTTAGCAACAGTGAAAAGATGTCAGTACAATAAACCATGATTTATTGCCACTTCCTTGTTTGAATAGAAGCATTTTTAGCTGATAGAACAGTTTAGTAAAAATAATATACTTAGTTGATGCATTATGTACTTCATTATCCTCATTGTAAGTGAAGCTGTTGGGTACAGTAGGATTTTTGCTAGAGACAAAAATTAAAAGGGAATTATTTCCTACTTTTCATTAAAATATGCAAGATTTTTTTACTAGGCTGAGAAATTCACTCCAGCTGTGAGAGGAACCCTGGTGCAGTATTTCTTGGGTAAACCCCCACAGAACAGTTTGAAGATGGTATTTTAAAGAAGATATACTTGACAGCGTTCTTTTGGAACACTGACATGTTCTGACTGGATTGGAGGGAGATAAATGCAATTAAAATTCAGAAGACCCTTTTTCAGTCATTAGGGAATCTCAGACATCTTCCCATACACCCAGAAAACCACAAGGGATCACAGCACAGGGATCACCAAGCTGATGCCAACAAAGGGCCCCACTCCCCCCAGCCAAAATACTTGCCAAATGAGCTAATCTGTACCAAGATGGTATTGGAGTCACAATATAGTTGGAAATTAACTGAGACAGCAAGACATGCTGCTTCATTCCTATTTGCAATTTTTAAGGAGCCCGATGATTAGATAGGGGTTTTTTTTGCATCATAAGATAGACTTCTGTGTCAGATATTCCTAAAATAGATATTTCCCAAAGTGAAATTTGTTTCATATAGAATTGAATTAAAGTCCTAACTTGGATAGGAGACTGAATCCTGAAAGAAATCAACCACCAACAAGCAACTGAACTCTGAACTGATTAATTAACAGATTGATTTGTATAAAGTTGGCTTGCTGGGCTGCATGTAAGTGGATGTGGTTTAGGTTCCTTGTGTGTTCTCAGATTTTTCTTTTTTTAAGAAAAAAAGCACTGGCATTTAAGCCATACAAAGAAAACTGGCCTCAGGGGAACCACCTCCGATGCATCACAGGAGCTTTGTGCAAACGGTTTTCGATTACTCACTCTGGCCACACATTGGATGAAACGGTTTAGACAATGTGCTGCACATGAAGGGATTGGTGGGGAGGATCACCAGACTGAGCTGCTCCAGCCCACGTCATCCTTGGATGACCTCCAAGGGCAGGAAGCAAAAAAAACAACAAATGCCGAGCAGCAGCGTGTTCCTAGGAGAGCGTGGTGGGGCACCAGCAGCTGCACATCCGGAAACTTTCCCCTTCCAGGACATGAGGAAAGTTTTGTGCACAGCATTCCTGTGAGCATGGACAGAACTGCTCCTGCTGCTCGTTTGACCAAGGCCATGATTCCTGTAGGCTGGGTTAGTTAGGCCCAGAGCAGTCCCACGTGTTTCGTCATGTACTCAGGGTAGTCTTTAGGTACAACATTTTTAAAATGCTGCAGCCTGACCTTGTTTCTTCGTTGTTTCTGAGGTTAAACTAACCCAGTGGTTATTATCTGAAGGCAAAAAGCAGCAGCCAGGTAAAGTAGTGGGAGGAACATACTTGTGCCTCCTCATTTTATAAACTTCTTTAATATTTTGCCGCTCAGTCAGTTTTTCTAAACTCTTTTCATCCACATTTCCACATTTCACCTAAATTATATTGTAAAAGTTAACATTTGTTCAGGTTATACTTAACTGAAGAGTGTCCTCATGACTGATTTCACAATTAATTTTTGGATATATGCCACATTATTTCGAAGTAAAACTATGCTATCTTGCAATATTTGGATTACAAGCATAACCCAGACCTTCAATGTGAGATGAATTTGGACCTGCCAGTCTCTACTGTCATGTCATAGACACGTAAGAATGTTCCTTCAGTTGTCCGTAGTTCACGTTCTGATGGAATCTGTGCAAGTCTTTTTGACTCTATGAGATTATGCAACCATTTTAGGAGAGAGATAAATCTGGCTTTGTCTTCAAGTGACTGCCTTAACTTCATATCTGTATTTTCTCTTGGTTTGGAGGCAAAAATCTATTCCTAAATAACTATTTCCTCCTTCAAACAGGTTTTTCCAGAAAATTTTTAGCTGCCTACACCAAGCAGCACACACCTTCCCAACCACTTCTGAGTCACCCTTCACTAATCACCTGAAAACGTTACTCTCAAACACGTTCCAATATCAGATTGTAAGATTAACTGTACTCACGGGCACCATGAATGGACATGAAAGACTGTAAATAACTGAGGTTTTAAGGCATCAAAAGATGAAGGGGAGAAAACAAAATCAACAAAAATACATTTAAAAAGTTATGGGAGGATAGAGTGAGGTCTGAGATGAAAGTATTTGTGGGGCAAGTGCCAGAGGGAAAGTATTCCCTCTGATCTACCACGTCCTCCCACAGCTCCCGATGCTGCTGCTCCTCTCCATGCTCCTTGCACGGGCATCTCCCATGGAATTTTGGTATTTCTTTATTCCCATTCAGAGGAACAGGTTTATGTCCTGTGCAAGAGCCATAGGAGGGCTCCTTTCAGACCTTAGATAAGAAGTTTGAAAAGTATTTCAGAGGCTGGGAGGCAGTTTCTGCTATTATTGCCACTGAGGTTTTCCTGACTTTCCTTCTGTGTTTTATGGCAGTTGTAAAATTAAGTAGGCTGTCCCTTGAATTAGAAGAAAGTTGTTTAAATATAAAATGTATGCAATTCTTCTAGCCACCATATACTCAATAGTTGCTAAGACAGGAAGGTTTTTTAACTTAAATGTATAAATCAATTTAATAAAATAATGTGGGAAGGATGTAGACTGAGATAGTAACTTACTAAAACAAAAGACTGTAGGTTCATCAGGTAAAGAGTAAAAGTACACCAGGCAGAAAGGAAAGCGAGAGTCATTTTCCCTCCTATATTGCTATAATATATTGCCTTTTCACACTCCAGGGGTAAAAAATCCCCAACAAAATGGAGCTGTTTCTAAAAGCACACATCCCCAGTGAGCTGAGTGAAAATACTCAGGACCATGGTGACTTGCTTCTTGGAGTGGGTGGTTGCTTTCTCATGGCTTTACTAAACATGTGCCTGTTTTTCTAGCATCCTTCAGATCCCTGTGCTCCCAGGGGAACAGCAAGGCTTGCAGGGAGGGTGGTGCTGGGCACTCTGCCCCTGGGCACAGGAACACTTCTGAGCAGGTGTTGGAGCTGGCAGGGATGATCTTCTGTTTAGATATGGTGTAAATACTGGACTATGTAAACATGTTCCTTGCTGTCTGGTCTGACTGATTGCCAGAGGTAATGTACATAAACACCCTGCCCTATTGGCTATTTCCAGCAGACTGAAGCCAAGGTAACTATTTATGTTAATATTCCCTTTATGGAAAAGAGACACAAACATATTAAATGGACCACAATTGAAAGTTTTCCTTCTCTTCCTAAAGATTCGTTTCCTTTCACACCAAATGTGAGATATATTTACCATAACGTCTTTTGGGTAGACTGAGTATTTTTCTTGAGGCACCCTCTTCTACACCGAGTTGTGTACACTGTATTTCTGTTCACCAGACTGAAGATGTGGTCCTAGAGCAGCTCTGAGCCTGACCAGAGTCATATGTTGGGATTAGACTCTCAGAATATTTGCATCCCCAAACAACCATAAGCTCTGTGAGGCCAGTGATGATGAAATACAGTGGAGCTTTGGCTTGTGATCTTCAACTCTTGCCAAATACCTCACTGGGGCTTCTGCCCCTAGCACCTCATAGTTCCAGTGTTCCACCATCCAAATTCTGGATGAACTCACATTATTATGACCAAGATTAAGCCCAGAATCAAGTAAGATAAATTGATCATAGACTTTTACGTGCAAGGCATATAAACAGAAGAAAACATGCCATTTCAACATAAGGTCATTTTTAGATCATCACCATATTCCCACTATTTACTCTTTCATGTAGTTTTTGATTCTTTCCCATTTCAGAGTTTTAGAAACAAATGGCTGCAGGAGGTTCCCTCTATGTTGTTTTGGGGTTGGTTTTGACCTGGAAAAGATTTTGCTGTTTCACAAATCAGAAAAGTATTTTTCATTCCAGAATGTGCTCCAGACCTCATTAAAATAACAGCTTTTCCCGCTTTCAAGATAGCAAATCATTTCTATGCTAATTTTCCTGATATTTTTCTCTCATTTTATGAGAGCTACCCTGCTTAGCTAGGAAAATAATTTGCCAGAAAGAAGGATGTCTGTAGTAGCTGCATTGACTATAATCACACCCCAGTGGAAGAACAGAGCTCTGGTAGCACTTAAGAATTAAGCCAATGGCTGTTGTATTAAAGCAATGTTTTTTTCTCTAATTATTACGGACTGGAGAAAGAAGAAGGAGTACCCCATCATGCTTACTGATAGATACCTTTTAGATGGGCACTCATCCACATTCACCTCTGCCCTCGCTCGCCTTCTCCTTCCTCTGGTTCCTCTGAGGTCAGGAGTGAGCATTAACCACACTTTTACCATATAACTTCACCCAGAGCTTAACCAGCCGTGGTTTTGCTCAGTGAACCTCTTGTATTTTCCTTTCCTTTGCCAACGCTGACCAGCCAGAATTCCTCCTCACCAGCACATGCTCTTTGCTTCCCCTCCAGCATTTTGTTATCCTGATGTAACTACATTACTATGGAGTTTGTGATGAGTAAAATATCTCTGCTATGTGTGTGCTGACTGGTAACTCAGCAGAAACAGCAGCATTAGTTCGTAGAATTCAGTCTTCTTTGATTTTTCATCCATGTATACCAAACAAAGTAATTATTCTTTGTACAAATAATCAAATGTCTCCAGGTAGCTTATTATTGCTATTTAATGGTGTGACAGCATAGGGATATAGCTCTTGTTTTTTCCATTATAATCCAGTTGTCAGCAGTTATGTCCCAGTGTCAGCTGGACTCGATGACAAAACCCCTGCTCATGTATCAGTAGCTCCCAATGTACTTTGTGATTCCAGGTGTGCACCCTGTGCTGCCTTATGCCATAAATTCTTTTATAAAAGGGGCACTTAAGAGCAATAGAAAACACCAATGGAAAATGTGAAGCAAATGTTTATACCTGTAAATCCAGGTGAAACTAAGATGGATGGCCAATTCAGGGATAAAGTGCTGTACTTGGCCAGACCAAGTTAAAATACACAAAAAACTACATCTTTCGTGCTTTGTAGGCAGGGGAGGAAAAAAAAAACCCAACGAAGAAACATGTATTTAAGTGCTGTGGTCTGAGCTTACACGTGTTTAGCTGGTTAGTTTGCACTTTCCTAAGAGTCCCTAAAAATAAACTGAAAACATCTTAAACTACTTATGACAAGTAGAATGGCAGGAAAGCTCTATTGTTTCCAAATGTGCATTGAAAAAAAAGAGTAAATGTGAGGCTGCTCTATAAGAGAAAGAATCTTACTGGAAGAACTTAAGAACTTACAGTAGAACTCTGACTGAAGCCATATGAAAGTAGCACAGTGAGTCTTGCTGCTTAAGAAGATTTTATCTGTCAGTATAAAGTTAACCTTCAGGTCAACTTCAGAACATGTGTGTCAGAATTCAACTACTACACTTACACTTATGACTTATTTCCGTGAAAACTGGCTGAAAAGGCAGCACAGAGACTGATACAGGTCTGTGCCATTTCTGCCTTGTACAATAGGAAGATAAAGGCAGAACAAATGTTTGAAAAGTTCACTGCGACCTGCTGGGAAATATGAGATTGTTTCTGACCAGAACCAGGCCAGAATTCCAGCTAAAGGTATGGAAATGTATTTATGAAAAGGGAAGGAAAACTTGGAAATTACATGTCAAGGATAGACATTCTGTATGTAAATACTTCTAAATTTTAGTTAATTTAGGGCTCTCCCCTTGCTGCTTCAAAATAAAAGTGCAAAAGCTTAGTCATCTTCTTCCTCTAAAACAGATAAATGTGCTGTTTGCGGGCCTTTTTATTTGCATGCTTTCCAAAGTTCATTCACTATTTAAAAAAAAAATAAAATTAAAGATTTAATGTACTATTTCTGTATCAAGAAAAGGACAGGAAGTATCACCAATTAATATAATACCAAAACCATACTACCTAAGATATCTTTCCCCACTTTAAACCTGTAAGTTGCAAATGAACATAATCAGTGTGTGATGATGGTTCCCTGACATCTGTCTGTGAGCAAACTCTTCTCAAGCCACGTGTGAGTCAAGTGCAGCTCCAGGAAAGGTAATACAAGGTAGATCCTTTGAGGAGGTGCTCATTGAGGGAGGATGTAAACTGTAGGGAACATTTCTATGCCTTTTGGGTACAATAACATGCAGCTGCCAACTCTTAGTGAATCTTGCCTTGGCCAGTTGTGCTTGGAGTTTGTTCTTTGCATCAGATACTTCAGCACCACGATTGTTAAAGGCTAAGTTGATGCTGAATAAATGATTCCACATCTCCTCAGGTGTGCACTCCAGTCCAAGCTCTGCATCCTTTCAGGGAAGGACAGAGTTGGCCCCTGCATGCTGAGAGTACCTGGGATTTTCTCCACTGAATTTAGCCCAGGAATTTGTTGCAGGAACTGAAACACTTGTAAGGAATTTAACATAACTTGCAGCCTGAGCCCCTGGCTTCAAAACTGCTGTTGCAGTGTAAGCTACTGTCTTTGGAATTAAATTCATCACTTTCTTTAATGCCTTGCTTAGCCTGCTAGATCACTCCTCTCTTCACACAAGTGTTTAGTGTATTCTATGAAAAGTACAGATATTTTACTTGCCAAATTGAAAGGCTGAGACAAACTACTGTCTGCATTTAGACTTCATTCCCCACACAAAACTTTTTTCTAAGAATTATGCCTGTATGATAAACTCTGCACGTATATATCACTATATTTTGATTTTCACATTTACTCTAAATTTTAATTGAACACTGAGATTAAATATTAAGGGACGCAAAAAGAAAAGGTTAATTTTGGTTTTGTCAGTGCTTGTTTTCTCAGTAGCCTTTCTTCAGTTTTTCATAGGGTATTCCTCTGCCTCCAAACAGAAGTACGGATCTTCCTAAATGATTTGGAATTCCTTAGTGCTGCATACTTATTTAGGCAGCTGCCCTTAAAAGTTTCAGGCAACCAGCCTGATACAATAGTAAAGTGCTTAAATCAGTGTACTGAACCTGAGGGGGCTCTGCTTACAGCTACTGATCCAGACAATCTTGATGTATTTTCTGCAAGATATTTGCTTTGGGTTTTTTTTTCCCTGATGTACGATCTGATGGATTATATTCATCTTCTCATCAGAAAATTACATTTCTAAGTAGGTTTTTCATCTTGACTATCTGAAATACATAGTATTTAATCCGTTCTTTAACATTGCTTTTTCAGGCTGTAATTTATCCATCTGGGCCTATTGAGGCAGAAAACACCTGCTCTGCTCCTGAGTGCTGCAGGTATGTCTCAGACTGCCAAGTCTGAGGTTTCAGGAAAATGTTAATGAAAAATGTAGTTTCTTTGGGTAATGGATGGTGAGAAAGGAAAAAGGCTGCAAAACTTATCCCCATGAATCTGCTTTTTACTAGAGCTGACAAGAATAATTTTATTCATTGCTAATCCTAAAAGTGGGTAGAGTTACTGGAGTCAGCAGAATGCCTGCCAAGTTTCCTTCGGTTATGCCCTCGTTTCAGTAGTGAATGAGGTGATCTTTTAATGAAAAGCAGAGCATAAGTAAACAAATAATACTGGTTGCTTTTTTTTTTTTTTTCTCTTTCCAACAAGACAGAGCTGTTATCATTTGAGATTGTGAAGTACATTCACCGTTCAAGTACTGCTATGTTAATGATAAGGGAACTGACAAATCATTAGCACAAAAACACTGCCCTCTATTGCAAGATGCTCTGCTGCTGCTATTGCACTTGGATTGGATGCAGGGCTTGATGAGGACACTGCTGATAAACAGTTTGAAAACTGCCTACAATTGGGACATTTTAGCTCAGTAATTTTCTTCCAGTCTGTAACACCAAAGCTGTGCCAAATGGACTAATTTCACAACAACCCAGGCTCTTTCACAGACAGTGTATTTAGTCCTTGGTGAACACTTAGGTGCTGTTTGCTGCATTGCACTTACCTGCACACATCAGCTGAATTTTTATTTGGTTTGATGTGGTTTTGAAACCTGAAAGCCACAGAATAGTGTAAATCAAATCGAGGGGGAACTCTGCACAGTGGAGTTAGAGGGCAAGGAGCCAACTGCAGCAGAGCTGTAAACCAGGACCCAGGATGATGATGGAGGGTCTCACACCAGGGAAAAACAGGGCCCAGAAGAGAGAGAAGATAAGGCCTGGGCTGAATCAGGCTCCTGCTTACAGCAGGGAGCACGCACAGGGAAGGCTACAGCAACCACTCATACCCACATCTCGGCTGCTTCTTCCACTCTATGGTAAAAGTTGATGCTGTCCAATGTGTTCCTCAGGTTAAAGCACTTCTCATCAATAAAATAGGCTGAGTTTTTGTCAGAAAGTTCCTTCTCCAGGGCATGCTGTGCATCTCTGTTGAAATATATACACACACATTGTGTTACAGCGTATCTTGTCTCAGAAAGCTGCATGACATTACCCAGCGAAAAAAAGCAGAGATAATTTTAAAGAAATGGTCATTGTCAGTTAACTTTATCTTCTCATGATGTTTAAAACCTACATAAATAAACTATAAGGCAGTGAGGGACAGGCAGTGGAGCCATACACTGTAAACTGTGTGTAAACAGGGTAAGACTGATACTGCAAATGCTCACACACAAAAAAACCCTCCTCTTGCAATAACTGATGGAACTAATTCTCAGCAGCTGCCAAGGAGGGTAAAGTTATTGCTGAGCATGAGATTGCAAGAGTGCTGGCAGAGCCCTGGGCTGAGCTCAGCCTGGCTTGAGCACTCCAAGGCCGGGTGTTCTCCCAGAGAGTCCTGCACAAGGAGCCCCCGCTGGCTCAGAGCAAGAGGGGTACTGAGGAAGAGATTCACTTTTACCTTTCTAGTGCTTTTTCTGGGGAACGTTCTCTGTAACTTTGGGAACAGGAAATGATCAGTTGGCCCCAAAAGAAAGATATTTGAACACGTACCTCAGTATAAAATGTGGAAAGTTCTGCAGACATCAGTGAATGTAATCCATATGTTTGACAGGAAGCACAGACCCAAAGTGCTGTACTGGGCTGTGGTCTTACACAGAGCCAAATTTTTCATGGGCAAGGTACAGTATAAATTTCTGATATGTCTTCCTGGCCAGTTTTCCTCCCACCGCAGACATTTCAATTTGCTTAAGCATTTGGCTCTGCTTCCACATAACATTTTCATTAGTTTCCCATAGAAGGGAATTACAGAGCAGGAAGTTCAGGAGCTGCACAAGTATCCAGTGGTGATGAGCATTTACCTGGGGTGAATACACTTGAAATGGGAAATGGGTAATAGCCTACTTATTAATGACAAAAAAAACAGACCAAGCTCCTCAATTACTTTAAAAAAATATATTTCCAGTTTTTTTTCTAGGTTTGCTTTTTGTTTTGGTTTGGTGTGGGTTTTTTTTGTTTTGTAGGTGGACCAGTATTCAGTTGTGTGCATTCTTCCAATGCAAAGTGGTGACACTGTTTAATGCATTATTCTGGACACCAAAACTTTACTCCTGTGCCAACTGTTCCCATGCTGTTTCTGCACCTACTATGGTTGGGACTCTGAACATCGTGACATGAGAACTTTGTCAGTGATGGGAAAATGAAGGGAAGGTGAAAAGGTTGTCAAAGGTCTTGTAAAAAGAATAATCTTCCAAGTGAATGTACCCATTAAATTACTGGAAATTGTCTATCAGCAAGATACAGAATCAATATACTCAGAACTGACACGAAATACCTCAACAGTGCGATTTTACTGGAATGATACAGAATCTCCTGGGTATGAAACCTGTGAAACGCAGTAGCGAAGAGCATTCCTGTGTAACGCTGTCCTTGGCAGCTGCTCAGCGCTGTGACCGTGGCTCGGAGCTGGAGCACGGCTGCTTCCAGCGGCAGAGCGCGGTGCGGGCACACACTCCCCGCGGCTCAGCCCCGGCACCGCCCGGGCTGCGGCACCGCGATGGCTCCGTGCAATTAATGGTCAGTTAGTTCTGCCTAACGTAGCTCCGGAGGAGAAATCCCACGGTGGCTGCTGGCATAGCTGGACCTGCCGTCGCTCCCTTACCGGCGACATGAGCCGGACCCCGGCGCGGGTGCGAGGGGTGCTGGCACGGCGGGGGAGCCCGGGGCGGGGCTGCTCGGGGGTGTCAGCGGAGACCCCAGAGCAGTGTCAGGGTTGTCTCCAGGTCCCCCTGGAGATGTCACCGAAGCCCCCCGGCGATGTCAGTGAATGCCTCCGGGAGTGTCAGCAGAGCTCACCGGGGGTGTCACACCCCCCCCCCCCCGAGGTGTCACCGGCTGTCCCCGAGGTGTCACCGCGGCCCCGCAGCGCCCCCTGGCGGAGCGGCGCGGGCGGCCGCAGGCCCCGCCCCCGGGCGGAGCTGACGCGCAGCGATGGCGGAGGCGGCGGGCGCGGCGCGGCCCGAGGGTGAGCGGCCCGGGGGAGAGCGGCTGGGCCGGGACGGGCCCCCCGCCCGCCGCGCCCGCGCCACAGCCCTCGCTGTGCCTTGCAGAGTGCCCGGGGACCGGCAGCGCCCAGGCGGGCAGCGCGGCCGCCTGCCAGGGATGCCCCAACCAGCGGCTGTGCGCGGCCGGCGCGGCCGGGCCGGACCCGGGTGAGTGTCGGGGCCGGGAGGGGGTTCGGGCGGTCCGGGCGGTCCGGGCGGTCCGAGGGCCCTGAGGGAGCTCCGGGCCGTGCGGGGGCTGCTCTGACGGCCCGGTGTCGCCCCCAGCCGAGGCGGCGGAGCTGCGGGCGCGGCTGCGGGCGGTGCGGCACACGGTGCTGGTGCTGTCGGGCAAGGGCGGCGTGGGCAAGAGCACCTTCAGCGCCGCCCTGGCCCACGGGCTGGCGGCCGACGAGCACAAGCAGGTGGGGCCCCGGGCTGGCGGGAGGGAACGGGGAGGGGGCTCCGACCGTGTGCCCCATCTTCCTTACGGCCTCCTGGCCTTCGTGTATGAACCGCGCTGGGGTGTTCTCAGTGCTGCGAGTTCCCCCGGGGGGGACGGCCCTGTGCCGCCTTGTTTCCAGTGGGGCGCGTTGGCCGGTTTGTTTTTCCAGGTTGCCCTGCTGGACATCGATATCTGCGGGCCATCGATCCCTAAGATGATGGGTCTGGAAGGAGAGCAGGTGAGTGAAACGCTCGAATGCGTTGTTTAAAGGATGTCTGCTCGTTTTTACAGGATTTGGGCTCTGTAGGCTGAAAGCTTGTAAAGGACTGTTTTTGGGAAGTGTGTGGCAGTGGGTAGGGAAGTAAGCTGAGATAGAGGAGTTCAGCATAACTGATTTTGTGAAAGAGTCATCAGGATGAACAGTTCTGCAAACCAGCTTTCCTTGCATAACATTCGTGTACTCGTGACAACTTAAAACCTGAGTAGTATTATCATGATGGGCTTTATCAGCCCCCGAGTATTTTATATAAATATGTGAGGTCACAGGTAAACTTGCATAAGAGTTAAACAGTTACTGTTCACTTATTGATGGAGATCTGGTGCTCCTGCAGTTTTTACCTCAGCCATCCCAATAAAGCAGGATTGTCCCTGCAGGCAGGAAAGCTGTTACCCAGGTTTGACTTATGTTCATATTTTGTGTAACATCTGTATTTGTTTCTCTTACAACTTATGTATCATTTCAATTTTTCAGGTTCATCAGAGTGGATCTGGATGGTCTCCAGTGGTGAGTTGGGGCATCTGTTTCAGAAAGTTTGTTGGGTTTGTTTGGGTTGGGCACCATGTTCTGTGTTAAAAAAATGAGTGAGGGAGGAGCAGGAGGCACTTGTGTTAATTCTTTTTCTAGTGACTTAAATATTCAGATTCTATAGATAGAAGATACAGAATCTATAGATTCTACATGTCCAGATTCTATAGATTCTGTATAGCCTATATCCAGATTCCGTAGAACATACAGAGAATGCTGTAGAATATATTTACAGATTCTATGGAACCTGGATATACATTCTGTAGATTCAGAGTGTTAAATTTCTTTTGTTAATAATAGTAATACTGTATCTCTTGTTTACTGATTTCCCTACTGTGGGCAATAAATATAAATATAAGTTCCTCAGTTTTGTTATGTTGGGTATCAGTTAGCTGTGTAGTGTGTCACCTTTTCTGTGACAGCCAAGAAGTACCTTGCAACCAAGGAAAATCTCATTAATCTTAAGAAAATGCGAGGAGGGTTTTGCAGGAGATTATCTGTAGTGTGCTGTTAAAAAGGCAGCTTGGGCTGAGAGAGAAAGCTGTTTCTATCTTTTTGTTGTCTCCACAAACTGCTGTAACAGCTGCGTTTTTTCAGTCTGACTGCAGTTTTTAATGCCCTGTAATAGAAGATAAGGTTCTCTGCCTTTATTTTATTAATATCTTCTCCCCCAGCTGCTTTTTCTATAAAATAGGGCTTCAGAGTTGGTTTCTCTACTCATTCTTCACTGCTATGTTTATCTACATCTCTTTCAGTATGTTGAAGAAAACTTAGGTGTCATGTCAGTGGGATTCTTGCTTAGCAGCCCTGATGATGCTGTCATCTGGAGGGGACCCAAAAAAAATGGTGTGTATCACATGTTTTCAACAATAATTTACATACTTAAAATCTCTAGTATGTCAATATCATGAGTTTGTTTAATAACATAAAGCTATAAGGAAAAAATAAGTGAATGGTTTGTTACTTCTTTAGATGAACATGTTCATTTGGTGAAGTTAGGAGGTCAAGTGATGTCAGGTTTTTTATGTATTTTTAAGCTTTGTCAAAATACATGTTTTTGTCCTGAAGTTGACAAGTCAGAAGAATCTTCTACCTCGGCTACAGGAGTTGAAGTAGACCCTAAAATCTGCAATACAGGGAGATGAATTTCTTTTTTTCATACTCTTATCCTTTCTTTTAGGGTTGATCAAGCAGTTTCTCCGTGACGTGGACTGGGGGGAGATCGATTACCTGATCGTGGACACTCCTCCAGGGACGTCGGACGAGCACCTGTCCATCGTGCAGTACCTCAGTGCCACCCACATCGACGGGGCTGTCATAGTCACCACCCCGCAGGTATGGGAGATGAATTTCCATGTAGAAGCAACTCACAGGTTAAAGGCAGTCCTGGGGTTAGAGGCTGCTGAACTTCAGAGAAATCTGAGGGTACAGAATCTCCGAGGACTGCCTTGGTTGTGTTGTGCTGGTGTGTGGGTTGGGTGGGTGTCTCAGTGGAGCTGGGGATCCCACTGGGTCACTAAACCACAGGGCAATTCACAATCAAAAGCTGTTGTGTTCTGTATGATGAAATGCAGTGTTTCACTTTCTTCCTCGAAATTAGGGTTCACGTCCTTGTGTAATTTAATCATCAATGGCTTAATGCTCTGAAGAATATCAGTAAGAAGTTCAGTTTTTAAGTGATAAACTGTGCACTGTTTGACACCTGTGAAGTAACCTATCACCTCCAGTAGGCAGTTTTGTCATGTGCATCTTTTTTTCAGCTCTTGGAAAGCTGAAACTCAAAATAAGTCTAGTTCAGACAGAGGTTTTAATGCCTGGTTTGGAACAGGAGCAAAAAACATGTAGTATTTCCACAGCAGCTGAATGGATAACACATAAAGGAAATGAAGTGGTGAGAGTGATACTGGAGAGGTGGTGAGGGAAGGAGAAAGGAACAGGAGAATGAGTGAGGTCCAGCATATATGCAAAAAGTCTGAGGAGAAGATATTTCAGATTTATTTTGGAAGAGGTAACAAGTGTAAACCTGGTGGTTCTTGTCCTCGTTCTACAGGCAATACCAAGGGTCCTTTTGTAAACTGAAAACATGAAAAAGTTGCTTTAAGAAACTGAAGATATGAGATGAACATAGGAGATAAATATGGTGAATGTTTAGACAGATTTCAAAACAGAACCACATCCAGTAGGCTGGAACTGTTGGACCTGCTCTGTTGCTCCTCAGAATTGTTGCTAGCACAGGTAGCACAGATTTCTGTTCCTCAAAATATTGAGACAGCAGTAATAATGCATTATAAATACTCTCTTTAAAATAGCTCTAAGGAGGTAACTGAATGGATCCAGCATGAAAACATGACAGTTGAAATATGAACCTTTGCTAATATTTGTAGGAAATCTCACTTCAGGATGTTCGGAAGGAGATCAACTTCTGCCACAAGGTGAAACTGCCCATCATAGGTGTTGTGGAAAACATGAGTGGCTTTGTGTGTCCAAAGTGTAAGGTAAGGCTGGCTGTGTGTTACAGCGTTTTTGCTGTGGCATTGTATATAAAACATTACTCCAAAAATGCCTTATTGTGTTGCAATATTTTAACTCGGATTTTCCCGTTGTCCCAGAAAGAATCTCAGATCTTTCCCCCGACTACTGGTGGTGCAGAGAAGATGTGCCAGAATTTGAATGTTTCTCTCCTGGGTAAAGTGCCTCTAGATCCACAGATAGGTAAAGTTACTTATTGCACAGCACCTAAAACAAGTTGTTCCTCCTATATTGATGTTATTACTGGAAAAACATGATGTGGGCACTGATGTCTCTTAGGTAAATATCCACTTTTAGATAGAAGGGGTTTTTTGAATCAAAAGTTACTGGAACTGTGATATAGCATGATATGAACAAGAAAAGTGCTGGGGTAATTTCCTTAACCTGAAACTTTAATCAATTAAGATTAGATGATGCATGCTTTCAGCTCTGTAATTATATTTGAAATACAACACGTCTTTCTCTTTGCTGTAATCACCTGGAAATGCAGGCTGAATAAAATCATAACCACTTCAAAGAATAATACCTTGTAGATGTTAAGCATTAAAACTAGTGCTTTAACCTCAGCGTTACTGACACTGCCCAAATTCTATTGTGGGTTGTGAGGGGCCTTGGTTCCTTGCCCACCAGCTATTACAATTAATACTTGAATTAATGACATCAAGGAACAGGTCAGTACTCCCAACATAGCAAATAAAGGTTTCTTCTAACACAATTCCCCTGTAAACTGTAAGCTGTAACTGTAGTCTTATTACTGTCATCAGAGCTTCCTAAAAGGAATAGATGTAGGTGGCTGTTTGAAAGAGTGTAACTGAAGTGGGATAAAGGGTAAAAAAAAAAGCTTATCTTTTCTTGTTGCTTTGCTCTTGTGTTTTTCCCTGTCCTTCAAGGAAGAAGTTGTGACAGAGGCCAGTCATTCCTGTCTGAAGCACCAGAGTCTCCAGCTACGTTGTCTTACAAGAATATCATTCAAAGTAAGTCTGAGAATCACTGTGCACTCTCGGTTCCGAGCACTGCTGCAATATATAAAGGTGGTAAACAGGATTATGCTATTCTGCCACAAATAATAAAACAGGAAATGTGCATAGCAATTCTGAAAGTAATAGCTGCAAATGCCACGTTTGCTTCTGGGCATCGGTTCTGACAGGCTTTTAAAGCCAGAAGGAGATTGTGTTTGATAACTGGTTTCTGTATTTGATTCAGTCATTCATTCACAGAGGTGTGTGTGCCCTTACCCTCACAGAAAAGTTCTGAGGTTCTCAAGCAGGCCTGTGCAGGGTGCTCTCCATAACCCATGGGATGCAGCTGGCTAATTATGCCTCCACTTCTGACTGTAATGGCACAAAACTCCCTTTCAAAACCTACTAAAGAGCTGGTGTTATTACAGAATGCAGACAGCTGGGAAATCCCTGAAGCCATTTTCACCTTGATAAAGGCCCAACTTGAGATATTTGTACCAACAGTGATGCAGCATCAACAAACTCCTGATGTGCAACTGAAGTACCATTTACATTACTTTCTCTCCGTCTTTGCAGGAATTCAGGAGTATTGTGAACACCACCATTCTCAGGAAGAAAAGATGATCTAATCTGTGAATGGAATAAAAAAATGTAGCTCTTGTTTAATTACAGAAAAGTAACTTATGCCTTGATTTAATAGAAGGAATGTATTCTTTTTGTATATTGCAAATAAATTCTTAATTTAAATGTTCTTGCCTTAGTGCTTTCCGTAGTTCAGGATTCGTGTAGCTGTTCCTTCACTGGAAAGCTGCGAAACTGAGTCTGCGTGTGGGTTAAGAGGTGTATTCTGCCTGTGGTGTCACGGTACAAATAACCTGACTGTGAAGTTGGTATTTGGAGACATTGAAACCAAGATGTTGTTTAGGCAGTTGAATATAAAATATGCTGGGCTGACACTGGGGCGTCGTGTAATGCAGGTACTGTGCTGTGCAGGCCTTTGTCCTGCCTGCTGTGCTGGGATGGACTGCAATGCCTCTTCTGCCCCTGGATAACTTCATTTAAGGGTCCTTCCTTCCAGTGGAAAAGATCCATATCTAGAGTAAAATTCAGTGTAGTATCATAGCACAAGTACAGTATTTTATTTGTTTTTTTTCTACAGGTATCAAAATACATGAACATATTTTAACAGTACATAACTGCCTGCTTCACAGAAGTGCTGTGTGAACATGCCTCCTGAATTTTGTTTTCTTCTATTTGACCCTGAGCCTCGATACTAAATAAACATTCAGTATCTTTAACTAAGAGGCCCTTTGGGATTGTAATTCCTGTTTTTATTGAGGAATCAAAGCTTTGAAAAGTGAATATTGTGTACCAGAGAGAAAGGCAGTTTGATTTTGTTTATTGTAATTCCAAAATTAAACAACTTAGCATTGTCTTTTCATTACATTTAATTCTTGGCTAAGATAATCCAGCAATTTCTGGTTAGCTTTCCTGGAAGCAGTGTGCTCTGTATAAACCATTTTTTCAAACACAAATGACATTATTTCATGCAGGCATAATTCTAGAAGAGCTTTATTTAAATATCTTCATGTGAAGAACAGCTTTCATGAATTAGTAATTTTACTGCTCATCCTTTTAGTTCTTCCTTGTTTGATTACCTAGGGACTGTCTTGCCATGTTCTTCAGTTCCATCCTCTGAAATCCTCCTGCTCTGCCCTGCAGAGTGAACAGAGGACACGTGGCTGTCAGCAGAACCTGGGACATGGGAATCTGGGGTAGGTCCCCTCTGTATGACACTGCAAGAGAGGCTTGTTGGAGAATCAGAATCACCCTGCCAGGAGTTCCTGTGGGAACTGAGACCTGGGAAGAGCCAGAACCAACCGTGACAGGCGTGTTGGGCTGTGCTGCCTCATGGGCTGTGGCTGACAGACAGCTCAGTACTTACTCTGGGGAGCATCTCCCGTGCCAAACAGCCTCGAAGTTACTCTGCTGATGGTCTTCTGTCCCCCTAATTTGCAGTGGATGTAACCATATAAATTAGCAGCCTGCAGGGAGATCCCAGCTATCACGAGAGCCTGTGGACAAACAGGAGTTCAGCAGGGACAAATATACCACTACCTATCAGCCATGTAGGATCTACACATGTGTGTACCCGTACATACCACCTAGAGAAGTGTGGGCTGTAAGAGGGAGATAGCCCTTCCCATAATAAATGACCTTCAAAGAGATCCAATCATGTCAAACACAGTGGTTCCCTCCTACAAAATGTCTCTTTCAGCAGAACACTGATACCACTTTTGTCATGCTGCATTTTTGAAGACTTCATTACTTCCCTAAAAGCACTTACTCAGAAAACGACCTCCTCAACAGATTCCAGAAACATCTCATGGGTTTGAAGTCTGATTTGTATCTAAAAATTTTGCATCCAAATCTGTGGCACACTGCAGGCCTGGTTAGCTGCCAAATGCCTTATATCCAAATCAGATCCTGTAATTTACAAGTTTACAAAGGGCATCCATAGATAGGAATCCCTATCTAGCATTGACAGGCAGTGAAAAGAACTGGCTCCTTTTGTGGTACTACAGGGTTAGCAGCAGCTGGGACCCGTCTGACTAATGGAATAACTTACAAAAAATGTTTCTCAGCCTCAGGACTGGTTTCCTGAAAGGATCTAATTTTCCTTTATGCAGCTTGCCCTTTATGGGCACCTGAGCAACCTGCCTTCAGAGCCAGCTGGGGTTCTGTCTCCAACCAGCTCTTGGCTTAGCAAACAATCTCTGGTTTTCAAAAATAAAGGTGGAGCCACGAACAAAGAGTTCTGGTTTAATTTTAACTGCTGCCTTTTTAGCTGTGCCATTTGGGGTACCAAAAAGCAGTTAATGATTTGCAATTGATTCATGCCCATAGCTAAATTTCTTGTTTAATTGAATAGTAAAATGCAGTCTTGGCTGATAACTGGTTATGTGGCTGTACATGTTGGAGGTGCCTTTTATCTATCTATACTGAATTAAGAAATGGTACTGAGCATGGCTGGGGACGTGACAGAATGAATTCTGTGGTGATTATCCAAGCACCTAATGTTTGCAGGGGAAAACATGAAGATTTCATAGACAAAAATATCTTAACATAATGCAATATATACATAATGCTATGCAATTCCTCTTGTATTTAGAAAAAAAAAAACAACTTGGGTTTTGGTGTTTTTTTTTTTGTAAAGTAGATGGCTTATAAATAATTATAAAATACATACTTATAGTTCCATTTATCGAGCTTTTAAGCACTAATAATGCTGGTTCTTTTAAAGGGAATGGTACCAGAGATCTAAAATCCTTACTTTTCAGAGTAAGTAGCATTCAAATCCCGGGGAGACTTAAAAACCTGAAAACCAGCATCACCAGCTCATTTTTGTCCTCTTCCATTAGTTTCATTGGACTGAAATAAGCTGGGGAAGAGTGAGTTGCTACAGTTAAAAAGAAGGCCAAAATTTTGCCCACCACTTGAGGTTCTCCAGTCACATGAAGGAGTTGACATCCAATAACCCATTAGAAGAGCAGCTAAAAATTACTAATCCATTCCAGAGTGCAGGGCTTGAGTACAGAAAACTCTTTGGGGTTCCTTGAAGCTGTTGGTGGGATTTTTGTACTGTTGGAAGATTTGGTTCAAGACCAAGAGATCTGGGGTTTCCCTCTACCAAGATTGTCTGTTAGCTGTAGATCCTTCATTATTTCCTCACTCACCAGCCATTTCAGCTTCAAGGAGAACAAGGTGCTAAAGAGAAACAGTGTCCAAATCACGGGGCAGATGATGAGACCAAGCCAAAAGATTCGGGCTTCAGCTTCAGTTGAGGCAGCAATTGTAGGCACCTGGAAGGGAAATTATCGAAACTATCAGTCACCAAGTCAAAATGCACAATAAATGACAAATATCTGGGCTCTTGAGGGAGAACACAACACCTCAGAGCAGGCTGCAAGAGCTTTGGTTACAGATTTCTTTAGGACAGCACATCTCATGTGTCTCTGTCTATACTGGAAGGCTCGTGGTTAATTACTACACTTAAAAAAAAAAAACACACAACAAACAAACAAGCAAGAAAGAGAATTGACAGAAGGTTCTGATCTTTCCAAAGTTTTTGAAACCTAACTCTAAGCCTCAGACCACTCAACCACCAGCAGTGTCAGTTTCTGAAATACAAAGCTTCACACTTGGAAAAGAAAACACTCCCACTCTGAAAACTGAAAAGCCTTTCAGTTAATTTTCAATATACTGAATTTTCCATGTAAAAATAAGACTAACCCATCCTTCCCCCATGAGGCAGACATTGTCATGGAACTTGTAAATGTAGTTAAATTACTCCATCTTGCCTAAGAAACTCCTGAAAGATGCAATTACTATGAGGTGTCTTAACTTTTTCATGTACCCTCTAGACCAGTGATGTTGCAGAGATCCAGAGAATAACATTCTATGCCTTTGTAATTACAGAAAATGACAGCTCCTCCGAGTCAATAAAAGGGTTTAATCACCTGTATCCTGAATTACTGACAAATTACCCAGCAGTGGCATTGCATTGCACTAACTTTGTGGGAGGAAAAATCCCAAACCCAAACACCTGAGAACTTTGCACCTGAAAGACTTGGTTAATTTGATGAAAGATTACAAAAGGCTACACTCAGCAGACTAGTAAGAACTGCTTTTCTTTCAACCAGCATCAGCAGCAAGCAGGATTTCCGAGGTGAACTTCTGTTGTAACAACCACGTGCCAAGAATTAGTTGTTGGTGAGTGACTTGGAATATCTCTAAGCATATTTACCCATAAAGCAAGAGACCTTAATGAGCTGCCAGAGGACTGGCAAAGGAGGTGGGAATGCCTGACTCGGGGAAGTGAGAGAACTGCAGGTATTTCAGGACCTTGCTATGACTAAGTCTTTCTCATGGGTAAGCCATGACGGAAGTATTATCAATATGTTCCTTCTTGTGGTACTATAATTTTTGCATTAATGAAGTTACCACTTGCCAGAAATTTTGGAAGGCTTTAGCCCATGCGGGTGAATCAACTTGGTACTTCTAGGCTAGAATGAAAACCTGTAATAGGTGAACAAGGCTTGCTCATCTCACAGTAATTTTGAGGTCTGGAGGTCATTTTATGGATGTCGCTGCTTTTAAGTGCTAAGAAAGCTCTTTATTCCCGTCTCCACAGAAGTGAGACTCTCTGACGGTGGTCTGGTTTCTTTTCTCTCGTGCAGGGATGTCTCTGCTCTGCCTTTAGCTTCCCTTAGGTCACAGGGCCCAGGCGGAGCTGTGTTCTCTGCTCAGGGGAGCGCTGAGCTCGGCGCGGGGCTGCAGAGGGCACTCCAGCCCCGCACAGCTGGGAGGCCCCAGAGGGATGGATGACCCACTGAGCAGCCCCTGGGCGCTGTTCTGCCAGGCTCTTGCTCGAATCAGGCTGTGGAAAGCACAAACCTGAGTCTTGACTCTGGTAGTGATGCCAAATGCCATTTTACAGCTTGTTTGCTCAGGGTGTTTGGGGCAGCACTGGCAGTATCAGAGTGCTCTGTGATCTGGGTTCTATTCTCTGCAGTGTTCCACGAGCATGAATGAAATAGCAGTTTTAAAATACTGAATCACAGAATCAACGAGGTTGGAAAAGACCTCTGAGATTATCAAGTCCTACTTGTGACCCAACACCACCTTGTCACGCAGACCATGGCACTGAGTGCCACATCCAGTCTTTTTTTTAAACTCCTACAGGGACAGTGACTCCACCACCTCCCTGGGGAGCTCATTCCGATGCCCGATCCCTCCTTCTGTATGGAACTTCTCCCTAATGTCCAAACCTAAACTTCCCCTGGCGCAGCTTAAGACTGTGCCCTCTTGTCCCATTGCTGGTTGCCTGGGAGAAGAGACAGACCCCCACCTGGCTACAACCTCCTGTAAGGGAGTTGGAGAGGGTGATGAGGAATCTGAACTATTTAGCACCGCTTTCCACACAGACCATTCCTGAAGAGGATTCTGTGTTGGCATTATCTACGGGAAGATGTGTTTATTGCAAGATATTCTCACCAGAAAATAAAACAGAACCACCAGAAACGTTTCGTACCTACAGCACCGTGCTGTGAATATTTATTCTGCTGATCCATGTGCTGACAATGTTGTGAGACCAGCTTTGTCCAGCAGGCTTCCAGGATGTGAGAAACCAGTGTTTGCAATACTTATATTGTGTTCTATATGAACACTTACATTGTGTTCTATAGAAGCTGGATAAAAAGTAACTGTTACGAAGGTGCTCTATTTGTTACTCTGTTTGACTTCGGATCAGCTTTGCAAATTTCCTATGCGTTGTTTGCCCTGTGCCTCCTTCTATTAATATATTTACCTTTTTTGCTTCAAACACCCAGTGGCTTTTTCCATCTTCATCAATCTGGTTCCACCAACGCAAACCAACCAAGAGTCTTCCTGTCACGTTCTAGTGATGAAACCATTATTTGCATTAATCAGTAGCACAAGTCACTTGTCTAACAGTTAAAAATAAAAAAGACAAGCATGTTTGAAAATCATCTTCTTTTACCAAATGCTAAAATTACTTGTAAAAGCTGTGCCAGCTTGAGCACAATGGCCATTAATGATGGATGGAATTACCACAAATTTAGAAGCCTGTTCTCTTCTAATATGATGATTAGCACAATAGAACTTATTTAGATAAGAAATTATAGGTTGTATCTTTTTCAAGTCAGTCAGTTGTACAAGCACCCAGTAATAAACAAATTTCCTCAGTAAAAGAGGAGCACTGAGAACAAAAACACACTGAAAAATGGGAGATTAATGATAAGCGAATCAACTGTGTGGATCGAGCAAACAAACTAAGAAAATATTCCTGCACCTGGAAGAACACTGGAAGCTTTCAGAATACTGGAGACACATCAATGCTTCACTTCTACAAAACAAAAACCTTGTTCCACATGGGGAGCCCCTGGATCCTGGGCTGGCCTGACCCACCTGCCTGCACTTGATTGAGGCACCAGAGCCATAGCTGGGTTTCCAGGGGCCTCCTGCAGCCTCTGCAGGGGTCTGGTCTGCAGCTCTGAATGTCCCCAGGCATTCATTACTTTAATTTTTATTTTTTGAGGGGGAAATTACAAAGAAATCTACCTACAGCAAATCAATTTTCTCACCATTTTAGTATCTCCCACGAACCATAGAGAACATGGTGATAAACAATAACAAACATATGTAAACATCTTCATTAAACTGGGCTAGACATGTAATAAACCAACAAATCATGATGTTCTGTCAGTATGCATATTCCCTTTTTTCGTTTTATTCAATGGCAAGCAAAATACTTTCAAAGGTAATTACTATTCAGGGTCATCTTACCTTGACTGACCAAAAGTCAAAGGATAGAAGGAGGAGAATAGTGACAAAACAGGCAACAAAGCTGTTGCTGAACCAGTCACAGAACAAGTAGGTAACAATAGCACTCACTCGGAAAAACAGGTGGAAAAAGGTGGCCAGTGGGTGCCTAGAAAAGAAAACACAGAGCGTGTATGAAGTGATGGGACAAGAAGGAATGTTGCAGTACTCACTGACAGCGTAGCGTAACACCAGTATTTCTACTTCAAAGTGGTATTTTGGTTGTAGCTTCTATTATTTCAAATGTTGGTGGGTACCTTCATTATCAAAGCAATAGTATTTTCAGTGGCTGAGCTTCAATCCAAAGTTAAAAGACGAAGTTTAGTTTCACCAATTTCTTTGGTATGTCTGAAGGAGTGCAGTGGTTACATTCAGCAGTGTTGTAAAAATTCTCATTTTTTAATGAAATAAACCAGCTTTTCAAAGCACAAAATAGTTGAGACAATTCTTGTGCCTTTCAGAACTGTTTTGAAAACAAAACAGGAACTCTGAAACTAAAAAAAAAAAAGTATCCGTTTGGTGTAAGACAAAATGAATCTTCATACTTAATGTCTAAACCCAAGCACTTCCTTTCAGAGAGGGACAACGATTCCTGAATCTAGCAGTTCTTATGAATTATAGCATGTTAATTTCACTAGATATTTATGCTTTGCTCATCCAACAAAATTTTGTCTGTAACAAAACAAAGAGGAATTTCAGTGAAAGAAGTAACTGTATGACATGGAATATTGGCCTGTGCAGTGGGAGCGGGGGTTGGAGAATTCTGGAAAGAGCACAGTACAATTTTCAGGGGAATATGCCAAGTATAAAACTTACTCCATACAGTTGGCTTGTGTTAATTAGTTGAAAGTGAGAATTAACTAGAGGCTATTGCATTTAAACAACTTCTCCCTTAAGGGTGAATGAATAAAATTTATTTTCTGAATAAGATATTTTTATTTAAGTCAGCAGTTATCTTCTTAAGCTCCTCCACCACTATGAAAAATTAACAGTAGTGTGACCTGGACCGTAATTAACCATTCAATAGAATGTTATTTTGTTATTGTGTATAATAAAATGAGATATATAATATATACACAATTATAATTGTTTATTATAAACTTAAATGATAGCTTTATAAATATAATAACTATTTAAAGATCCTTATTGTAATATTATCCTATAGCTGTTTGACTGTTTATATTTATATAATGTCAGTACTGTGTTTGCAGTCCTACACACATGACTGCAGAAGGAAAAACGATGCACAGCTGTAGTTTATATTTACTCCTGGTCATGCCCAGGTTAACTTCAAACTTTCCAAAAACTGCTTCTGACTTACAACTAAATATGTCACACTGTAAGTGAAAGGGGCTTTTTCTGCTGTAAGCAGGTGGGTGGAGTGGGGTGGACATTGTGAGCTGTCAAAACCAGACAGTGCCTCGCTGCTCACACGGGGGTGGACAGAGCTTCTGTAGCTGTGTCAGTGCTTCCAGGCTGACTAACTTTGGAGAAGAACTGTTTCATTTTGGAAGGCAGATTGAGCAGGATTACTGGATTGCAACAGCATTACTGTTTGGATGCTGGATCTGTTCCAATCTCAAACTTTGAGGGGTATTTACTAGAAAAAGTCTGTGAGCAAGAAGCTCTCGTTCACTCCTGTGCTGAACACTTGCTGAGGCTGTGGAATGTCAGTCCTCTCCCAAGGATATGCTGACCAAGCCACAGACAGACTTGCAGGTTCTTGTCCTATGGGAGGAAGGCAGAGACGTATCAAAACTTGCACCTCATTTTTTTGGGCAGCTCTCTCAACCTCAGAAAATTTATGCTTAAAAAAATAATAATCCTGAAACTAATAGAATCTAGTAAATAAACTGCTCGCTTCCTCACTTAACAGAACAAATGTGTTCTCTTAATTTGCAGCTATTATGAAATTTTTAGTTCCTATCATATGCAAACAGAAGTTTTAATAAGGAGATGATCATCTTTTAAAACCTGAAGCTAAACAGTCCTTTTAAAAATAACTTTCTTGTTTTTATTCTGTGAACTCATTTTTATTGAATTAAATTGTACTCCATAAAACTCTTTTAAAAGTTAATATCCAGAAATACAATGGCATTAATTGTATATTGGTATCATTGCATAAACATACATTATCCCTTGTACTAATGGGAGACAGTACAGGCTTTAGAATATGCTAACTTTTCTTTTTTTCCTTTTCTTTATTCAAATCCAGTAAAGGATGAAGGTAACTGAAACTCTGCTTCGCAGACATTTGCTCCTGAGAGCACAGCAACCCTCTTTCTTGGACTTTCATTTTTCCTGTTGCACCTAAACCTCCCTCTAGTGTAGAACTGGAGCCTCGAGGCTGAAGGGTTGCCTTTTACCTTATTACAATGACCTTTGTTCAATTTGCAGGCATGATGCCTGTTGGGACAGGAATGAGCTTCTGTGAATTTAGATGCATCCCACATTAAGGAATCAAATATACTGAAGCAGATTTTGAATGAAGAGGCTCTCTGATCATTGTGTTGCCTGGTTGATTGGTAAAAGAAGTGATTATGTGTTCCAGATCCAATGTTCTGGTATTCCAGTGAACTGCAAAAAGGGTCTAAGTTATCTTTTTCTAACTTCCTAGGAAAGTAGCCATTAACTTCTCACTTTTAAGGAGCCCTTTTGCATGTACTTTGGAGAACCACAAAAGTACATCTTGTCATAGCTTATGAAAATTATAACCAATTTCAAGATATATGAAATTGGGATAAAGACAAGATTAGAACATCTTGTTATGCCCTCTAAGACGACAACTAAATTTTGCAGCACCCAAGTGTGGTACAGGCTTGTTTAGACAAGATTCTTCAGAAATCTAAAAACAAACATCTATGTGAACAGTGTAAGCAGTTCTGTGTGAATACAGTTTCATTTCTGCATTCTAGAGCAGGTGAATTTTCAGTATGAGATTATCTTTTAATATTGTTGTGAGGGCAAGAAAGAAGAGCTGTCTTTAACAAAATAAGTGTTTACACAAAGTTGATCACTTAATAGTTTGGTTTGCTGAACTTTGCTTGTCTGTATTTATGGAGTAGTGTGGGCCAACAGGAGCAGATCTGTAAAGTAACTGGTGCTGTGGACCCCCTACAAACATTTCAGGATGGTTTCACTTCATGCTCAGTTTAGTCTGGTCCTACAGATGGAATCTGTGGCTCATGTGTTCAAGGTACTTCTAAGCTGTGTTTCAGTTTGGCTGAATTCTTTGGGCTATGTCTCCAAGATAACATCAAAATATAAATGTTCATTTAAAATTTGTGCTGCTGCTGAAGGCTGACTCAGTGTGTAGTTAAAAAGTCCAATACAGTCTGAAGTGCAGAAATGCTTCACCAGATACCAGTAAAACAGAGTAATTGCACTGTAAAGCTACAGGATTGCTTGTGACCTCAGATGTCATTTTGTCGGGATTAACATCTCTTACGTTTCTTTGTTTACACCTAGAAGAAATATTATCATTGTAATGGACCAGAGTAAACTGGGGCAAAGTAACTGGGGCACCTTCTAAACCAAAGGTGATTATGTACATTATTGGTGAGTGCATGCATAATTTCTTTTGACATAAAATTCTTCCTTTTACAATCTTTTTTGAAGAACCTTCAGCCAGCTACTGTGGAACAGCTCTATCACCTGGGACCTCAGTGTGGCCAGAGCTGCAGAGTGACACCCAAGGTGACAAACCCAAAGGCAGACAGCTTAACCTGGTGGGAGGGGTGAATTTTCTTAGGTAACATCTACGAGGATAAGATGTACAATATTTCACACATCATCACACCCCGTGGTAGGGGAAACGTGACAGTTTTATTGCAGGTTTCTTGCTGTTTCCTTTCAGCCAGGTGTGCAGTGCAATGCCTGAGCACTGCAGCACAGCTGCTTTTGCTGGAGCTGAGAGGCCTCTCCGCTGCTCCAGCTCTAGCAAAGGTAGTTTGGTCGGGTTTTGGAGCGTTGGGTGTGTCAGGTTTCCGTTTCCATGGCCGGGAGATGCCGGACAGCGAGGCCGGGCCTCGCCTTCTCCAGTCCGGGCATCTCCCGGACAGAGGCTCCCCATCCTCCCCGGGCAGCCTGTTCCAGCGCTTCACCACCCTCTCTGTAAAAAACATGAATCAAGCGCTTAAAAGGAGCTTTCTGCGTTCCCGTGCATCACTCCGGCCGGAGCAGCGAGGGCCTCACGGGCTCCGCGATGCTGCGGCCTCCGCGCCAATACCTGATCCGCGCCTTCCGCAGCGCCAGCTCCTCCTCGCTCCCGAAATCCAGGGACACATCCTCGGTGTCGTCCACCAGCGCCTGCGGCGGGGACCCGGTCAGCTCGCAGGGACCGGGGGGGCTGTGCCGCCCCCCGAGCATCCCGCCCCGCCCGCCCCTCTACCTGCTTCATCCTCCCGCGGCTCCAGGGCCGGGAGATGTGCCGGGGAAAAGGGGTCGGGCTGCCCCTCGCCGGGATGCGCCTCCCCGGGCACCGCCTCGGAGCGGGGCCGGCTGCGGTGGCGGCGTCTGCCGAGGCCAGGGCGGCTCCAGCCCCACCGGCAGCATCAGCCGGAACGGGACCGCTGCGGTCTCGTGCTCAAGAGAAACCCTGAAAGGAAAAAGGAGTGGAGAGAAAGGCTGAACGTGGCTGTACAAACGTGAGAGCACACCTGCGTGTCGCGTCTGGGGGGCACCCGCGGTGCTGCCGGTGCTGCCCCCCCTCAGCGGCCCCGTGTCCCTGTCGGGTACAGCTGTGGGGAAGGTGGTAGGACACAGCACCGCGGTGTCCCACTGGTGTGGTGTGGGTAACTCGGCCCTGCAGTTAGAGTAGCTGAGGGCACTTGTTCTGTTCAGCCTGGAGGAGACCCCCCCCATTGGGGTCTGCACCTTCCTCATGAGGGGCAGTGGAAGGGCAGCTCCGATTTCTGCATTCTGTGACAAGCGACAGGACCCCAGGGAATAGCCTGAAGTTGTGTCGGGGAGGTTTAGGCTGGATGTTGGAGAAAGGTTCTTCCCAAGGAAGGTGGTTGGGCACTGGACAGGCACCCAGGGCAGTGGTCACAGCACCAAAGCTGATGGAGCTCAAGGACTGTTCTTGGGCACAGGGTGTGACTCTTGAGCCTGTCCTGTGCAGGGGTTGGACTCGATAATCCCTCTGGGTCCCTTCCAATTCAGGGTATTCTATGATTTATTTTTTTTTTAATTGCAGGTGAATTATGCAGCAGAGTCAGGGAAGTGAAACAAGACAACTGAATTTCAGGATGGGTGTAAGGATTTCACAATAATGGGGGGAAATAGTCTGGTCAGCTAAGCACAAAGTGGAGGGTCAAGGAAGATCTGATAAACTGCAGCCACGTGTAGGTCTGACTAGCTGTTAGCATTAAATAAACCTGCAAAATAATAACTTCCTAGTCTTTTCTAAAACACCTAGCTGAACCAGACTGCATCTGTTGAGTAAGTACAGAAGTTACTGAGGTGAACCATAGCCTAAAATTCTGAAATATTTAAGGAGACCTTTCATTCCCCGAAAAGATATAAACTCTTTGATGCTTAAAAACTATTCTGACACAGTTTCACTTCTTAATTTTATGCCAATTATTAATTAAGACAGTCTAACTGCATCAATAAAGTAGAGGTTTTATTCTTTGGTCAACTTCATCCAACGAAAAAGAGTGGAATGGAATGCAATGTTTACATTAAAGTTTATTTATCACATTTAGCACAAGAATATTACAGGCTACAGGGTAGAGAATATGCATGGAACTACTTAACAAACTATTACACACACACTTTATACATACTAACTTGTATCATTTATCTAATGATCTATTATTATGAATATCTCTTATTACTGATTCCAAATCAATATATAGTCCATGGATAAACATAGCATAAGTAGTCTTTTTCTCCCAGTTTTCACTTTGGTAACAGGTATTCCCTGCATGGTATCCCTCCACAGAAATTAGCAGCTTCTTCTTTCCCTCTCACTGAGTGTCCAAGGCCATTTGATGGATTCCAGCATTATCTCTGAGGCCTCTCTCTGGGCAGCTGCCTCTGGCTTTCTAGGCTGAACACCTCTTTGGTTTCCTACACTTTGAAAGCTATCATGAGGTACAATTACTAAATAATTTTGTGCATACCTGGAGCTGACCTCTACTTCATTTACTGTATCAACATGCACTTCTGCTCACAAGCAACGTATTAACAGTAACTCAAACAGAACCAGCTCTGACTTGGAAGCTGCTCCTGGAACTGCACTGACAGACACCTTCAGCATCTTCCTGACTGCCAGATTCTTCATCTCAGCTACTGTATCAGCTCCTCTTGTACCTCTCAGTGCAGTTCTGCCAGCAAATCTGATGGTTTAAGTTTAGTAATTCTGTAGTGTTGCTGTACTGTCCGACCTATTGCATTTTTGTTCTAAGGAAGTACCTGTGTGCTGTGTTCCTTGTCAGAGAAAGCAGAACTTCCATGGGAGAGGTGACAATTAGCCTGTCATTGCATTAGGTATCTGATTTACTACTCTGGTTCCTCTAATTTTCCCTCCTTCCAGTGCTTATCTCCACTGACTCACTGCAGGGATTAACTGTTTTCCTAACAAAATCTATGAGATAGTCCCACAGGAGACTATCACTATAAAATGCAAATAAATATTTTTTTAATAAATTCTCTAAAAAGCTATATCAAATTATGCTGTGTGACTATTCAAGGTATTTTACAGGTCATCATTTTCTTTTAGAGCAAATTAAGAGCTAGAAAGAATCTTTGGTCCCTAGAGGAATCATTGCTCAAACTAAGAATTCCTTCATTTTGAGTTTACTGGAAAAGAATTCTTCCTTTTTTTTTTAAATAAGTACATCTGAGTGAAACCTCATTGGAAGCTTCCAGTGTTTTCTAGGATTTCACAGAACAGATTGTCTTATTTTCAACACTCTTTCTGAGTTCTGGTTTAACTACAAATTATTTGAACCTTGGAAAGATTAGCAACACCCTAAAGGTGATGTAAGTTCTCAAATACTGCTTCAACAGCACCAAAGGTGGAGATGGTTACACTGAATTTATGAACTGTGCTTTGATTTTCAGGTTTGTACACAGGAAAACCTTGACCATTTATGAAATATATTAAGATTTCACTTAATTGCTGACAGAAATATATAGCATAAAATCGTTAAAAATATATCACTTGCTGCTGTGCACTTGCCATTACCTTGCAGGCAATCAATCCTCTCCCCAGGCAAATAACAGCCTCTGTATTGTAGAGCACTATCAGTGCCAAAGGCTTGATAGGAATAACTAAGAAATGCCTCTCATTCTCTGCTTCAACAATAAATAGGACCTCCTCTAAGATTAATATGCTGTTTTATTCACACAGCTACCAAGAAGTCAGCTGATTTCTCTTTCTCTGTAGAGCACCACCCAAAATCTTGCAGGATATGGCATCAGAGACTCTCCCTGTAAATAGCCCGAGGACATTGTGAATAACTTGACAGTTTTTGCTCTGGTTTAGGTATCTCAGTGGTGTTTACAGTTGAGTATTCTGTTCCTCTGAATGTTGGAAAATATTGTTAATCCACTAATAACTCTTACCTCACTTTCATTAGATACATTTAAGGGGTTTGTGTGAGGTTCAATAAAATGTTTACATTTTGAGGAGATAAGGCAACATCCCAGATCCACTGCAGTGGGTGGGGCTTATCCCTGCACTCTGGGATCCGTTTCCCGGAATGGCAGTGATTTTCTCAGAACAGGTGCTGCGAGTCCCTCCCTTTCTTTGCCCTATGAATTTAAAATGCCTGTGCACTCTCACACAAGCATCCAGTACCTCTCTTGCCTTAGGCCAGTCCTGTATAGGCTTGCTGAGGAAAAAAAATACAATACTAATAATCCTAACCTATTAAATAAAAGATTCTAAGGGTTATTGAACAGTTGAGAAACTTAGTACAATAGGAAGCTGATAAGAAAAACTGAGTGCTGTTGCTCCTACAGCTTTATCTGCAAAAAACAAGTTAATAAATAATAAAAGTTGAAGTCGCTTATAAAAGCTGTAAGCTGCTTATTCAGTAAGCTTTATTTCTTGTATTCTTTTTTTTCGTCCCCTAGCTGCTAGTAATACCCATGTAGCCTCGTTCAGCTTCCTGAGATGCTTGTTAGACAGTTCTTCAACCACTTTCACTGGCAATTTCTACTTCATCTTTTGTTGTGGAGGCTGTGGCTAAGCAGCTTTGGCTATACCTGTTTGCATTTGATTTTCTTATTTATTCTAAATTGCTGTGTCTGTGAGAGGGTGGTAAAGGAAATAACTTTATCAGGAAAAAAAAAAAAAAAGAAGAATATAGACAAAACACAAAGAAGGGGTTCCTAATCTTGGGATGCAATGAAATGAAAAGCCTGTACCCACCATTCCTAAGCATTTTGACTTGCAATTTTTTTCTGAAGCATCCTGTGTCCCTACGTTATTGTTTAATAGTATCTTTCCTTACTTTGTTAATATTTACTTTTCTAGTTCACCAAATGTTTTCAGCTCTCTAGTATTCCTTGTATTCAATCACAGAGAAATTGAAGGGATATCTGAGGAATTACAATTCACCAAATCCACACTATTTCTTGGGGTTTGAATCATACAGAGAAGAAGAGGTGCTCAGAATTGATCTTTAGGTCACTAGATCCCCCATAGAAGTCACAGGGGCATTAAATGCCTTGGAATGGGGTCTGACACATCTTATTTACAAGATCTACCAGGTGCTGCTGGAGACAACTCGCTCTGTATGGAGAACACAGCCCTGAACCTCTCCTGGAGCCAAGGACCCAACCTCCTCTGGGAAATATGAAAGCAAGGCTCACATCTGTGGCCTATGAGCCCCTTTTACAACTGAGTCTGGGATTGAGAAGGGACCACAATTCCCTCTGTGGCCTGGCAGGTGACAAGCCTCAACCTTCCAGCTGAGAAGGGGAGGGAGCTCCAGGCTGTACTGGATGTGCCCACAGCTGAAAGCTGTTCTGCCTGACTCCCCAGCTGGAGGGTGAAGCATTTGTCCCTCCTGTGAATGGACCTGAGTTCATGAGCCACACGTTTTTAAAATCTATAAATAGCCACCAATTAAAAATGCTGAAACAAACCTTGGAAGAGGGGCAAGAACCTAAACCTGTTCTTTCTCAGGGAATGCACTGAGAAAGATGCACTGCATTCTTTGTCTGACTTTCATCCTTCATGCAGAAGGGTGTGAGAGTTCTCCTTCTCCATGGCAGAGCAGACCAGGGACATCAGTGCAAGACTGCAGGAACGTGGACCTGAAGCTCCTGGAAAAGAAGTGGAGTGACCTTCCTGTGATACCACAATCACTGTGTGCAGCTGCAAGAACAACAGCACAGCTACTGGAATGGAAGTCACAGTGAGTGCTGGTTTATTCAACTGACTAAAGGTGAAGCTGCTGTGTCTGACATGGATTTTGATAGCCTTTGTGTCTGGTGTGTGTTTTAGTTGACGAAGATCAGAAATGCTCTAGG